AATCCTAGTAATGGTTCAATAGCTCACAGTGAAATTCCATAATAGATCAGGAGGGGAAATGAGGACTGCCTTATCCAGATGAAACTTTAATTGCTGTTCTTAAACTAAAGGCTACAGAAGACTCTGCTTTCCTCCTATAAAGAAACTATGCAGGGGGGTTAGGTAGGAATTACAATTTATTGGCATGCTTCCGAGACAGAAGAGTATGCTTCTCTAAAGGCATAGGCCATATTACATACACTGGTAAGAGGTGGTTAGAATTTCTGCTAGGGTAACATCTGAAATGCATTCCCCTTTGTAGCACAATGTCTCTTCATAGCATTGTGCTGAGGCATTGGTTCAATGGGAGGAAACCCCCTTCCTTCACTCACCACCTGCACTCCCTGAAACATCTCCACCCTCCTTGGAGGTTTCCTATTCCAGAATAAGGAAGCTGAAGGTGAAGCTGGAATTAAGAATGAGGTGCCAGCAGTATAGTCAGTGAGAGCTGGAGACAGGAAATGGGAAACACTACAGTGCCAAGAATTTAAATGAACAAGTTTGAGTGAGAGTGACTCCCATGTTTGTTGTTTCAATGGGACCTTTGGTTCAAAAAAGATACATTCATAGAAGACAGGTGCATCAATGGCTATTACCCAGGAATGGCAAGGATGATGTCCCTCACCTCTGTTTATCAGGGCTGGAAATGGGTGACAGAGGATGGATCACTTGATGATTGTCTGTTCTGTTCATTCCTTCTGAGGCAATTGTCAGAAGACAGGATACTGGGCTACATGAATCTTTGGTCTGACCCACTATCGCCATTCTTGTACACTATGAATAGGGTAATATTACTGAAAGAAAAGCAAGAGATCTCATATGAATTCTATTCCCTGCTTACTTCTGTGACTCGATTTTGCACTAAATTGCTTTAGCAGTGCATCCAAGCTTCAAGATTTAGATCTGGATTTGGAGCAGTCCCTTATTGGGAGGTTTTCTGGAATTGGGTGCAAACTTTAAGTCCAGATCCAAGTTTAGATTCCAGATATTCTGCCCCCTCATCCCACATACACAAAGCTCAGGGAAGCTTGGACCCAGATCCTTGTTCCTGCCTATTTCTGCTAATAATAGTGTGTTTCACTGTTGTCAGAACATGGCTGCTAAGGCTGCCAGACTGCACAGTATTTGATTTTTCATTTCTTCTTCCTCAGAGATGGTGAAATGCCTCCCAAATGCCAAACCGGCTCCTAAGGCTCAACTTGTCTGCAGTAAATCAGGGGGAATTGAGAGCTGCTTTTTGTCATGTCCTTCCAATACACTTTTTGTTCCAGGTTGGTACAATGTCACATTTCCATATCTAGTTCTGTACATAAGGCAACCTTATTGTCTTTTTTATTGTATTCATAATACCTTCATTAAGTTTTTATTATGAACAAATACAAGAGGGAACATTAATTGTAGAATAATGTAGATGTGCGAATGCCCATTAAATACAGTTACAGCATGCAATAAGAGCCTGATCCTATAAGGGCACCTCCCACCCCCATTGCGGGATTGGGTTCTACAAAATTAAATAGAGGTGACTTTTGAGAAATCAATACAAGTAGTACAAAACTAGTAAAAGATGTGAAGGGTGAATGCATTGTCAAGGCTGCAATGCTAAAGAGAACCCTGACACGATTAAGTTAGCAATTCAGGAAATTCCAGAAAACTGAGTAAATGAAATCATTAATTTCAGCAAATTCCAACCAGCTCTTCACTGTAGCATTAAGTGCTTCCTCAGCCCTCCCCTAAATATCTGTTCAGAAAGATGGACTGTGCGTTCCATCCTGCAAGTCAGCCTATTTAGGCAGTTGGACATGGGTGAGGAGTGAATTTCAAAGACATGGGTCCCTCACATGTGCACTCTGACAGCAGCCCAACAGTGGCAATGTGGCAGGGAGAAAAAGGAGGCTTCAAGCAGCTTCCAGCTATTAGAGCATTGCAGGTCATAATGAACGACCTAAAGTCCAGGGCCACAACTGTGAATAATTTCATTGCTCACACAGGACACCTCTACACAGCAGGGCTAAACTCGAAATAAGCTATGCAACTTGAGCTACGCTCATTGTGAAACTTAAGTCGAAATAGCTTATTCAATTTTTGGCGCTGTCTACGCAGCAGTTATTTCGAAATAGAGCACTCTTCCCCCGACTTCCATTACTCCTCATACAATGAGGGTTATAGGAGTTGGAGTAAGAAGCCCATTATTTTGAATTTATTTTGAAATAACGGCCTTGCTGTGTAGAAGCGCACTACATTATTTTGGAATAACTGACATTGCTGTGTAGACATAGCCACAGGGACTTTGCAGAGCAATGGAAGGATCAGTACACAGCACTTACCTCATCTTCACTTTATCCTGAGACACACATAAGAAATGGACATTCTCTGTCTGATCTCATTTTGTGACAGGAGACTTCCTACACTTCAGGAAACAAACCCATCCTCAACTGTATTTTTTGCTACATTACCTATGAAGCTAGAATCAATTGTTCCAAAACTAGACCAGCTGGGTCTCAGTTATACATGAACTACCAGTTACCTCATCCTTTTTTGCCTGTATTTTTCAGTATCATTTACTAAAGGTTCCTGGTTCTTTAACATAAGGGATTTTTTTAATTTTTATTTTAATTTGCTGTTTCTACATCTTCTGTCTCCCCTTCAGAGGTGTATATACAATACGATCCTTTAGCAATTGCTTTTGGCACTGATATTAAATGCTGTGCAGAGATTCTAGTTTTATTATCAATCAGTCTAGCAGAGATAGGTGATACAGTACTTTGCACCTAATTTGCACAGTCAAATACACAATTTTGACCATACAATGAATAATGCCCTATTTTTATTTTTTAATTGTCAAAATGCTGAAATGAGGGAAGCACGTGATGTATTTATGAATTAATTGAAACTATCAAAGCCCATTGATGTACAAAGGCAATAAATTATTTGTTGATGATAACCCTCAAATGATTCCTGGTTAGTATCCCTCCTTCTGGTATATAACATGTGTCATTCCAATGCTGGAAAACAAAGTTTGTCATCAACAGCAGGAAACAAATAGACTTTGACAAACCCAAGTCTGTCCATTTCATTCCTTTAAAATGTTAATTGGACACAAAGTATATAACTCATATGATTATTTAAAAATTGTGTTTGTGCTGATTAATTAAGAGCGTGGGCAATGTGTTAGAAAGGTTTTGCATATGCCTCACTATGTGTGCACTATTTCATTTCTGTTCAGATTCAGAGAATAGTTATACACTGAGCTGTGGAGTGCCAGTACAGCAAGGCAAAGCCCAACAGAAACGCAATGTGACGCTTCCCAGTTGTGCAGGTAGGTGGAGGGGTTGATACATATAGATAAAAATAGATATTAATAGATTCATAAATAACATTGTATTTTAAAAGAATGTTAGGGTTGCAAAGTTAAGCACTCACAAGTTAGGAAATGCCAGAATAAGGGTTGCCTATGCAAACCCTTAGGCTTTCTTATGAACATGTCTTAGGATTCTCTTTAGTTATGTGATCACTAGTCCTGCAGCTCTGACCAGGAATGTGGTCAGCTAGTTAGTGATGTGGCACATGTGCAGTCCAGTTGGTATACAGAAGTTCTGAAGGGCTGGACAATGTTCACAGAGGATGGAATATTTGAGAATTTAGCTGCCAAACTCCAACAAGTCTCTAAGCAACCATGTGCAACCTGCATTTTTTCAGTAATTTGGGCAAATTTTCACAAGGACAGTAAAAGGCACCCCCTTGGCACCCAGGTGTCCCCCACTCCTTTAGTGAATTTTAACTCTTAGGCCCAGAGCATCGAGGTGCTAGAACTTCTCAATAAAATGAGTGTATGAATTTTGCTTACCAGGGCAAACAGTATATTTCTCTCTAATCTTTTTCTCCAAAATGATTGAATTATTATTGCTAAATAAATAATGCTAAATTACTAATTTTTGCTAAAGCTTGTCAAAATAAGCCAGCCTGAGGCAGACATGCCATGTAGAAAATTTCAGCCCCAGTGATTAAAGTTCAATTAAGTTATAAGCAACTGAAAACAAGACATTAGAATGGGAAACGTTGAACAGTTAAGTACTGTATAAGCATTCCTTCCTGCTCTGCCTATTTTCCTTGGAGAGTTGATAAATCTTTTGGTTGCATTTTCTAGTTTTTATAAATAAATATTTTATATACATAATTTATGTTATGGGATGTGAGGGGCGTGAGCTCAATTGATAGTGAGATGTGGGTAAGCAGAGAAATAAAACTGAGCTGCCTGTTAGATGGAAGATGGACAAGCCTGAGATCCCTTTAAAATGTAAAGTGGACATTTAATGTAGATAGATAACAAATAAGCAGCACAAGTGATATTACAGGAAAAGTGGGTGCTGCACTGCTGAACATGTATGAGATTTACTGTGGGTTTGAAGTGTGTTGTCTGTTATCAGAAGATGTCTGTGCTTACTGGGAAGAGAGAGATTGGGTCTTCATTTTCCAGTTACAATCAGGAGGTGGAGAGGCAGTTATCTTTGTTAGAAAGGCAAGCAACAGTTACATTTTCCATTCAACCCTCAGTTGTGTAACATGATTTGATTGTAAGAGGGAGAACAGACCTTGTAAGCCATAGACTGCAGTAAAGTAGTTAAAGACAGTTCTTTTTGACATATAGGCATGGGATCGTTTTAAACTGCTGACAATTTAATTATATTTACATTAGCATATGTGAGATCAGAATCAAATACTTAGTAATTTGGAGAGTCAGGAGTAGAGTTTAAAAAATTATAGTAGTTGCTTTTATTCTGAGTAGGAGACTAATTTAACGCCTCCAAGACTGCACACACAAGCTGGATAAGAAGAGTTCCAGTTCAGTTGATTTCTTCAGATCTCCTCCCACTCACTGAATATCAGGGTATAGTCACTGAACAGACTCTCATTGGCTGATGAGATTCTGAGAGCCTGAGGCTATTCTTAGCTGTTTGTGGAAGAGGAGCCTTATGGAAATTAATTCACGATTCATAGAATGTACACAAGGTAAATAGTTATAGAGTCATAGAGTCCTGTCTCTCCATTATGTTTCAAGAAGACTACAGCTTCCATTAAAAGATAGGTGCCAGAGCCCTTTAAGACTACATTAGGAATGATAACTTTTAATTTTATTTCAACAGATTCATTAGCCCCACCAATCAAGCAGAAAGCTCGGTTTAAAATTAAAGATGCAAAATGCCATTTACGGCCACGCAGCAAAGAAAAGATTAAAGATGCTGGGAAGCACGCTGTTACAGGTATGTCATCTATACATATATTTTAGAGAGTTTGTGTCTGTTTGCCTGTCCATGATTCCGTCTTTGAATCTCTTCAAGAACTCCACTTACATGGTAAGAGCTAAGACCACCTAATTTGATATGCAGTTTCCTCTTATCCTAACTTAAAGCAAGGACAGTGTTTGGTCATGGCAGGAAAATGGGATGCCCATGGAATGGGAGCACACAGAATCTACTAGTCTGGGCCCTCCTAGGCTCTGGTGTGTGAGGGGAACGTGGGGAGTGTCTTTCTCCTTCTCAGTCAAGTGCCAGTGAGGATTGATTGATTGTTTGTTACTTCTCACTTGTGTGTGGCCCCTGATTGATTTTTCTGTGGGTCAGTGGCCCCTGACCCAAAGAAGGTTCTCCACCCCAAGAGATAGCACCTGCACAGGAAAATCTATACTCTAAATCTAATATACCATGCAGTCTTCAGTTGGCTTTCCTTACGCTGGAACATGCAACTATGGTTTAACACAAAAGATCAAGAAAGTGGAGTGGGTTAGACACAATTTCTAATTTTAGCAAAATCAGAAAGGAAGTCCCAGCATTTGAGGTTTACAAATCTTGATATGAATATACTGTAACGGGTTGACTCACTTTCCGCACGGCTCTTCCCTCAGGGTGGCTTTGGGGAAGTAGCTGGCTGCTCCGACGCGCCCCCTTTGGGTGTGGTGCTGTCTTCAGGGCACTGCCTTCAGGCAGTGTCCACTCCGGTCTTGTCCACGCCCCCTTCTGGAGAGGGCAGGGGGAGAGTCATTGTTCTTCCTTCAGTCCAGGGTCCTCCCTACTCCCTAGGATCCCCAATTCTTCTTTTTCCCAGGAACACCCAGCTCCCTCCAGGAACATACAGTTCCTCAGTGGCCCACTGCCAGTCTCTTCTAGCCCCTGTCTCCGAGCAGACTGCAGTCTCTCCCGGCCACTCCTCCCTGGCCAAGGGCATGCCTCTGCCTGCCTGGTTGCCTCCTGTAGGGTTGCCAGGTAGACCCCGCTAAAAAACCGGACACGCTTGTCTGGGGGTGGGGCGTGGCCCAGGCGGCCAGGAACATACAGTTCCTCAGTGGCCCACTGCCAGTCTCTTCTAGCCCCTGTCTCCGAGCAGACTGCAGTCTCTCCCGGCCACTCCTCCCTGGCCAAGGGCATGCCTCTGCCTGCCTGGTTGCCTCCTGTAGGGTTGCCAGGTAGACCCCGCTAAAAAACCGGACACGCTTGTCTGGGGGTGGGGCGTGGCCCAGGCGGGAGGGGGGCAGGAAGCAGAGCTGGCGGGG